CCTGTATTATTTTGGTTCAGTTCTATAGGTAAAGTAAGGTTATTCATATTGCTTCCTAATGCACAGCGTGTACTGTTTGCCAGATTTTCCAATGTCTTCTTCACACCACCGAGTTTCTGTAATGTGTACATAATTGACACCTACACACTGGCCTGTGCTTTGAAAGCTGTAACTATCCTTGGGCGTCAATTCCATCCGTAATCTCACACATACGCCCTGCACCGATTTATAAATTGTTGTCCCGTCTGATTTTTAACACAAGACGTTCCAAGCAAGATCAACATTTTATCATTTTTACAAGCTATCGCCTGTGCTACCAATGAAGCTTGCCAGTCTGTTGTACGGAAAGGCTTTACATCCATTAACCTTCAGGCTTTTTAATGAATGTCACGTGTTACGCTAAACTAGCAGCGAGCCCAAGAAAAGCCATGCAGTGTTCTTTCTGGGTGCAGAGGAAGAAAGGAAACGCTAGGGGGCAGACTATGCAGCTTCTTCAGGCCCGGCTCTGCAGGCGTCAAGCGGCTGTGGGCGGACTGAGGAAACTTACTCAAAGAGCAGAACCGGGCCGCAAACCTTCTAGGTTGTTTGCGCAAAAAATGAAAAATATTACAAGCAGCTTATGAGCAAGTTAATGATGAAAGTGAAAATTGGGCGACCGTAAACGTTGCTTCTTTATCTCGGGATTATACATTCCGAAAAATCTAATATGCAGAGTGTTGCAATCTGCAGACCATTCACACCCCCAAGAAGTGTTGAAATTCAGCTTTCTTTAAATTTCTAACCACAGCCTTCCATAAAGAAATTCAAGACCTGGGTAAGAGGACATATCAAAATACATTTTTGATTGAGCATAAGTATTATTAAATTTGTCATGTTTTGTGTCATACAGCAGACTGATAAGGAGTCCTCAACGACACTATTTACAGGGCTGTCAGTCCCTGGAGATCCGGTCTGCTGTTCCTTTTTCCCAGCCTGAGTTGTCAATTAGATAATCTTAGTTTTTAGATGTAAACAACATTATTTAAGGTCTTTTACCGTTACTTATTACCCCCCCCCCCAGTCACACATATCGCTCACACTTACATACAGCTCATGCTGGAGTTTAAACCAGAGGACACTGGGCCCTGCAGGAACAGTCTGAGATAGAGCCACTTCCATGAAGAGATATGGGAGTAGCAACTATCGCATCTGCACATGTTTGCTGTTTTTAGGTTGAAAGTTGCCATAATCGAGTATGTTTTGAGCACTCCTCTAACCTCCTTGGTAGTGGCCCTTGAAGGATGGAGATGGACTCCCCTGCTTTGATGAACATTAATTGAACACTATTTACTGTCCTATCTGCA